CACACACACACACCATGACGGACAGACACACACACACCATGACACAGACAGACAGACACAGACAGACACACACACACCATACAGACAGACAGACACCATGACACAGACAGACAGACACACACACCATACAGACAGCATGACACAGACAGACAGACAGACAGACACACACACACCATACAGACAGACACCATCAGACAGACAGACACACACACCATACAGACAGACACCATGACACAGACAGACAGACACCATGACACAAACAGACAGACACAGACACACACACACCATACAGACAGACACCATAACACAGACAGACAGACAGACACACACACACACCATACAGACAGACACCATAACACAGACAGACAGACAGACACACACACACCATACAGACAGACACCATAACACAGACAGACAGACAGACACACACACACCATACAGACAGACACACACACACCATACAGACACCATGACACAGACAGACAGACACCATGACACAGACAGACAGAAACACACACACCATACAGACAGACACACACACACCATACAGACAGACACCATGACACAGACAGACACCATGACACAGACAGACAGACCCACACACACACCATACAGACCGACACCATGACACAGACAGACAGACACACACACACACACCATACAGACAGACACACACACACACACCATACAGACAGACACCATGACACAGACAGACACACACACACCATACAGACAGACACACACATACACACCATACAGACAGACAGACACATTACTAATACCTGCCAGGGGGAGGTCTTCTGGATGTCTTCTGGGGGACTTGTACTGGCGGTCACTGGGGGAGCTGTGCTGGCTCTGCTCTCCAGCCCTTGCGCGCTGCTGAATGAGACCAGCGCCGGAATATGACGTCATATTCCGGCGCCGGTCTCATTCAGTTGCGCGCTGGAGGGCGGGAGAGCAGAGCCAGCGCAGCTCCCCCAGCGGCCCTCAGAAGACCTCCCCAGCGGCCGCCAGCAGCCCCCAGAAGACCTCCCCAGCGGCTGCCAGCAGACCCAGGTGTCTGCCCGGCCCCAGGTGCCGACGGCCCACTTGTAAGTCGGTTTTAGCCTTTTAAAGTATTTTACTCATACTGTATTACACTATATATATATTTTTCTTGTTTATATTTTATGTTTCTGTGAATTTTAGAGGAGAAATGTCCTTATTGAGTATATCATAAGTGAGTTATTTAATGTAAGTGCTTTTCTCTATTATCCACTATAAGCACTGGAGCTTTTTATTTACATTTGCACTTTTTCCCCATTAACACAGAATTGCTGTT